TAAAAACACATCTTTGTCATAAATACTTTATGGTATGAATTTGAGCTATAGTTATTCTTGCAAAAGTAAGTCTATGAGAAAATTAATAGCACAGTATGACCCAAACGGTTAGTGTTATGGAAGAAATATTCCTAATGATTCGTATCTAGAAAAATTTGGACAACTCATGCTATATACATGTTGTGGGTTTTTTTTATTTAACAAGTTTTCATCTTCTATTATTTAGTTGTTTTGATGCTAAAAATTTACTTCAGAAAACTTATTTATGATTATTTTCATTTGTTGAATGCACAAGTTTTCTTTGAATTTATTAATCCCCACATCACTCGATGAATAAAAAAAATAAATGAATGAATAAAAAAAAATAAAAAAATAAAAAAGAGGAGAATTTTTTCTAATTTTTATATAAGGCTCGAACCCGTGAGCGACAGACATGTTAAGAAAATATAGACTGTTTTGTAAACGGAGATAAGGTTTTGTCCCACATATTCAGTTCCATTTGCAAAAAAAGATAAAAGGATGAGTGTCGAATTAGCACAGTGGTTCTACCGACGGTCCAACCGAAGCTTTTCCGACGGCAGAGATCAAGCTGCTTTAGTCTCAGTTGAAGTAAGATCAAGATTATCCACCATGCTACGGCTCACCCCGATATTGCACAACTTATAGTTCGTATATAAACGTAATATTGTTTCTAAATTTAGATATGATCTAAATTTAGTTATGATCGATAGTTGAGATGGTGATGCAATTGTTACGTTTTAACGGTGTGTTTACGGAAATACATACGTTAAATGCATTTTAATCCCTTTATTGAGAGATACTGAATGCACTTTTTACAAAGTGCATGTACTTTTCTGAATGGTCCTTGAAATACATGTATGTACTGGCCGATGTCGTTTCTGTTTGGTTCTATGTTAAAGATTACACATATATTAAACATACATTTCACTTATTCCTAGCAAATTCGCGACTTCGTAATGTCATATATATGGCCATAATAGAAAGATACAGACTAAAGACCGGGCCAAGGATATGATTTTTTCTTGCATTACGATCACTTTTTATTGATCATCAGACAATTTAGACTATAACATTTTACTTTTTAAAAAAAGAAAAGAAATATTTATGCAGGTAATTACAGGTAGATTACTGCATTGGTCGACGATTGGCTGAAAGAAAAAGTGCAGGAAAAACCTTAAGAGTCAATGTGACATAAGGTGATTGGACGAAAATGTGATGTTTATTAATATCAAAAATATTTTATATATCAACACTACATCGTTTTTTGACAAACATGGAATATTTGAAACGCGTGTAGAGGCAATTTTCATTTGCAGAATTAGGTTTTAAAGTGTATGTTAGTCCAGTGATCAGCACAGAATTTCAATGCTGTTTGGAGGCATTTTATGAAGTCAACTCTAAATAACGAAATGAAACTTTATTTTCAGGCATATAAATGTTAAAGTAAACAATTATCTTTGTCATAAATACTTTATGGTATGAATTTGAGTTATAGTATTTCTTGCAAGGTAAGTCTATGAGAAAATTAATAGCACAGTATGACCCAAACGGTTAGTGTTATGGAAGAAATATTCCTAATGATTCGTATCTAGAAAAATTTGGACAACTCATGCTATATACATGTTGTTGGTTTTTTTATTTAACAAGTTTTCATCTCCTATTATTTAGTTGTTTTGATGCTAAAAATTTACTTCAGAAAACTTATTTATGATTATTTTCATTTGTTGAATGCACAAGTTTTCTTTGAATTTATTAATCCCCACATCACTCGATGAATAAAAAAAATAAATGAATGAATAAAAAAAAATAAAAAAGAGGAGATTTTTTTCTAATTTTTATATAAGGCTCGAACCCGTGAGCGACAGACATGTTAAGAAAATATAGACTGTTTTGTAAACGGAGATAAGATTTTGTCCCACATATTCAGTTCCATTTGCAAAAAAAAGATAAAAGGATGAGTGTCGAATTAGCACAGTGGTTCTACCGACGGTCCAACCGAAGCTTTTCCGACGGCAGAGATCAAGCTGCTTTAGTCTCAGTTGAAGTAAGATCAAGATTATCCACCATGCTACGGCTCACCCCGATATTGCACAACTTTTAGTTCGTATATAAACGTAATATTTTTTCTAAATTTAGATATGATCTAAATTTAGTTATGATCGATAGTTGAGATGGTGATGCAATTGTTACGTTTTAACGGTGTGTTTACGGAAATACATACGTTAATGCATTTTTAATCCCTTTATTGAGAGATATTGAATGCACTTTTTACAAAGTGCATGTACTTTTCTGAATGATTCTTGAAATACATGTATGTACTGGCCGATGTCATTTCTGTTTGGTTCTTAGTTAAAGATTACACATATATTAAACATACATTTCACTTATTCCTGGCAAATTTGCGATTTATATGGCCATCATAGAAAGATACAGACTAAAGACCGGGCCAAGGATATAATTGTCCCTTGCATTACGATCACTTTTTATTTATCATCAGAAAATTTAGAGTATAACATTTTACTTTTTAAAAAAGAAAAGAAATATTTATACAGGTTATTACAGGTAGATTACTGCATTGGTCTACGATTGGCTGAAAGAAACAGTGCAGGAAAAACCGTAAGAGTCAATGTGACATAAGGTGATTGGACGAAAATGTGATGTTTATTAATATCAAAAATATTTTATATATCAACACTACATCGTTTTTTGAAAAACATGGAATATTTGAAGCGCGTGTAGAGGCAATTTTCATTTGCAGAATTAGGTTTTAAAAAGTGTATGTTAGTCCAGTGATCAGCATAGAATTTCACTGTTATGATGTAATGCTGTTTGAAGGCATTTTACGAAAAGAAATTGGTGTTCAACTCTTAATAACGAAATGAAACTTAATTGTCAGGCATATAAATGTTAAAGTAAAAACACATCTTTAACATAAATTTTTTATGGTATGAATTTGAGCTATAGTATTCCTTGCAAGAGTAAGTCTATGAGAAAATTAATAGCATATAGTTTGACCCAAACGGTTAGTGTTGGAAGAAATATTTCTGTTGATTTGTATCTAGAAGTCTTTGAAAGACTCATGCCTATGCTGCATATACATGTTGTGGTTTTGTTATTTAACAAGTTTTCATCTTCTATTATTTAGTTGTTTTGATGCTGAAAATTTACTTCAGAAAACTTATTTATGATTAGTTTCATTTGTTGAATGCACAAGTTTTCTTTGAATTCATTAATCCCCACATCACTCAATGAATAAAAAAAAATTGAATGAATAAAAAAATAAAAAAGAGGAGAATTTTCTCTAATTTTTATATAAGGCTCGAACTCGTGAGCGAAAGAAATTTTAAGAAAATATAGACTGTTTTGTAAACGGAGATAAGTTTTGTCCCACATATTCAGTTCCATTTGCAAAAACGATAAAAGGATGAGTGTCGAATTAGCACAGTGGTTCTACCGACGGTCCAACCGAAGCTTTTCCGACGGCAGAGATCAAGCTGCTTTAGTCTCAGTTGAAGTAAGATCAAGATTATCCACCATGCTACGGCTCACCCCGATATTGCACAACTTATAGTTCGTATATAAACGTAAATTTTTTTAAATTTAAATATTATTTTTGGGGGGGTTTTTTTTTTCTTTTAAAAAATTTTAAAATTTTTTTTGGAAATTTTTCCCCCTTTTTTAAAAAAAAATTTTTTTTTTTTTAATTAAAAAATTTTTTTATTTTTTTTGGGTTTTTTTTTGGTTTTTTTTTTTTTTAAATTAAAATTAAAAAATTTAAAATTTTTTTTTTCCAAAAATTTATTTTTTTTGGGGGGTTCCCCAAAAATGGGGGAAAAAAAATTTTGGGCCGGGTGGAAAAACAAATTTTGGGGGAAAAAAAAAAAAAAATTTTTTTTTTTAAAAAAAAAAATTAAAAAAAAAATTTTTTTTTAAAAAAAAAATTTTTTTTAAAAATTTTTTTTGAAAAAAAAAAATTTTTGGGAAAGGGGTTTTGGGGAAAAAAATTTTTTTTTTTTTAATTTTTTAAAAAATTTTTAAAAAAAAAGGAAAATTTTTTTAAAAAATTTTTTTTTTGGGAAAATTTTTTTTTTAAAATTTTTTTTTTTAAATTTTTTTTTGGGGGAAAAAAATTTTTTCCCGGGGGGTTTTTTTTTTTTTCCCAAATTGGTTATGTTTTTTTTTAAAAAAATTTTAAATGTTTAATTTTTTTTTAAAAAAAAAAATTTTAAAAAATTTTAAAAAATTTTTTTTTTAATTAAAATTTTTTAAAATTTTTAAAAATAAAAAAAAAAAAAAAAATAAAAAAAAAAAAATTTTTTTTAAAAAATTTTTTTTTTCCCCCCAAAAAAAATTTTAAAATTTTTTTTTTTTTAAAAAAAAAATTTTCCCCCTTTTTTTTTCCCCCCAAAAAAAAAGGGAAAAAATTTTTTTAAAAAAAAGGGGGCCGGGGGCCCAAATTTTTAAAAAAATTTTTTTTTCCCGGGTTATGAAAAAAAAACCTTTTTCAAAATTTTTTCCCTTTTTTTTTTAAAAAAATTTTTTTTTTTTTAAAATTTTTTTTGGGTTTCGTTTCTTTTTTTTCCAAATTTTTTTTTAAATTTTTTTTTCCCAAATTTTTTTAAAAATTTTTTAAACCTTTAAAAACTAAAATTTTTGGGGGGGGAAAAAAAAAATTAAAAAAAAATTTTTTGGTTTTTATTTTTGGGGGGTTTTTTTTTTAAAAAAAAAATTTAAATTTTTTTAAATTTTTAAAAAAAAAAATTTTTTAAAATTAAAAAAATTAAAAAAAAAAATTTTTAAAAAAAAGGGGAAAAATTTTTGGTTTTTTAAAAGGGGGTTTTTTAAAATTTTGGTTTTTTTTTTAAAAAAAATTTTTAAAACCTTCAGCTTGTGTGATCCTGAATAATTCAAGCCATGATTAAAAACATCAATATGTTTCTAATATATTTTAATTGTTTTAAAACAAATGAATAAAACACTTTCAAAATGTTTATAAGTTTAATTTATTCACAATAAGTTATAAATGCCATTTTATAAATAAACGAAATGGATCTACATGCAATAATACAAAATGATAACATGATTTACCTAGGTACTATTATTCTTAACCTGTTCATCCTTTTTAAAATGGACTTGCCCTTATTCCTTTGTTTACCTGTTCATTTAAAATGGACTTGCCCTACTTCCATTTTGGACCAGTCCATTATCAATGATTAAAGTTATTCAGTCAACTGTTTGGAGCCTGCTCAAACTGCATGGATCTGCCCAAAATCTGTGGCAAAAAAACAATGATGTTTGGTTTCATAAAATTATTCAGCAATATTTACATGCTAAAGCTACACGCCTCCAGATGAGCAAAACTATTTCTACAATATCAAATATGGGTAAAAGATACTAATAAGTTAGGAAAAGTAAAAATATTTAAGATTCAGGTAATAATTTACATGTTATTTGTGATTAATGACCGATTTTTCAGTATTTTTAACTGTATTTCTACTGCGTTACTAACGCAGTAAGGGTTATCTCTGCATATTTTGACCCTTTTTTGATAGTTAACGTGTTTTGGAAGTGCCATTTATTATGTGTAAATTGCTTTCTTTTGGTTACTTCACAATATTTCACTTTTAAATACCTTTTCAAAATTTTCATGAAAATTGGTATGCAACTGGAGGCATGCTGCTTTAATGTAAACAATAAAGTGACATTATGCCCATTCAATGGTACATGTATATATAGTGAGGGAACAGGTGAAAGTCAAAATAAGTTTTCATATTGCCATAATTCCTTTGCATTTAATAATTTACTTCTCATAAACGATTAATAACTTACATGGCCAAAGGAAATTTCTGTAAATTCATCAGAAGACTTTACTTGTAATGTTCAGTTTATAAGGAGTGGGACAGTCTTTTTATATTTTAGGCAGATTTATATTGTATCATAAACATTTTCCAATATCAACTAATGGTCAATCACCATTTTATCAGTCAAATTTTTTAGATACATTGTATATGGTCAATTTAGATCAACTTGACAATGAATGTCACTTTTATGAAACATACTAGTACTATTTGATTGAATAATACAATTAAGTGATGGCTGCAGTTGTTTTCTGTAACAATGACTTTACATACATTTACAAAAAAAAAAAAATTAAACAAATAACGAGTCCTATCAACATTTTCTAATTTTAATGCTGTTTGATTCATGAATACTAACTGATATTTATATACTACAAATGTATATAAGCATCGGCAATGTTGCCAAAGAAAAATAACAAATAAATAAAGCAAATTATATTATCGGTACATTTGATTAGCACCATAGGTGATTCTCATATGTACTTTTTTTCTGAAACCAAAGAATGTGATATTGTGACAAAGCAAATTTTAAGTATGCACGTATATTATTTGATGATTTGAAAATAAAACACTGTGATTATTCTGATTTGAGAAATATCTTGTTTTGCTTCTAAAAAAATTATCATCTATTTCAACATGATGATTTTTCAAAGTAAGCAAGAGCTGTTGGTAGGACAGCGTGCTCAACTTTTCTCAGTGCTTAGTTAAACAAGATTTAATATAACCTGCCTAGAATATTTAAAATGTCTAATATATTCTTGTTTTTTTTTCTCTCTAAAGTATGCAATAGGTTGTTAAATATTGAAAAAAAACTTATAGTAATACAATGTCGTCATTGATTACTGTATATAGGGGAAAACTAACAATTCAATATTACTATATATTATTAAAATTATATAGAATGCTTAGTACAACTTAAACAGTGAGTGCTTTCTGAAAATTTCAGAAAATACAAGTAGTTAAATAAAAAGTAATATTAGATTAAATAAAAGAAGTTCAAAAAATATTAATATTATATCATAATATTATTATATCAGTTTAATATTATATCATAAATCAGATGTGCTTACTTATTATAAAGACTTTGACATGAAATTGAATTGTCTCCCTTTACATGAAAATCAGCATTTTTCTAACTGATATGCATGTATTTAATTTTTTAGAGTTTCTTGATTAATGGGTATTGAGTATTGACTTTACATTGTAAGGTATATGGAATAATAAAGCTTAAATTATGTTGAAACATAAATTGTTTCATTGAACAGTATCTTTATAGTGATATATTATGGAATGAGATGATCACATTTTCAGAATAATGAATGGTTTCAGCCACACAATAAAAAAGTTCAACTTTAAATTGAAGAAAAAAATTTAGGAACACATTGCACTTATACATAGGTTGGAAATTGCATCTTCACCCTTTGACTGACTGTAAATACAGGATATACTTCTTTCCTTGAAAATTGGTCAATTAGAATTTTCTTCCCATGAAGAGTGTCACCCCATGTTGCATCTGTGATAGTATATGCAAGTAAAATGCCTTCCGATTGGTCAATTGTACAGTAGATTGTCACAGATAAAGGCAAACCATCCAATGGCATAAGCTGTTCTATTTTACCATTATGCAAGTACACAAGATTTCCTCCAGTGCAAACTATCCCATGGGATAAACTGTTCATACCAACTTGATCCTTTAAACTAAGTTTACCAAACGAGATTCCTACACCAAATATATAACCGTTTTTCAAATCACCCATCTGACTTGCATTCTTTTCCACTGTTACTGACCACATGGCATTGAATGTTAGGGGTTCCGCTGTAAAACTCGAGGAATTGAAGCCCCATGTAGTTAAACATTTGTTGCCAACCCGCGGAGTATCCTTGCCTGGTGAAGCCGGTGATTTTATAACCGGAATAATACTTTGACATAAATCAGCTTCATCAACTGTTGAGAAAAAGTCATAAAAATTAAATGTCACAGACTTATTCATTATTAAGCAAATATACGTCACATGCACAATAAACGATGCTTATAATACTATAACTGCATGTTTGTAACATTGCTTTTTATTGGATAATCATGATGTTTATACAGTTTTATATACACGGCTGCTACTGTATAAAGAAATCTCTTTTTTTTTTCTCTAAAAAGGAAGTTTGCTGTAGTATAAATTCATTATAAATATTCCTGACAGGTTATAATGCTATATTTAAACAGCTGTTTGCAATATAACCATTTAAACATGTAAAGGGCTGTATAGTCTGTCAAAAAAATCTTTATAACTAATATTATAAAGAATCTTTGGAATAACTAAAACTTATAAAGCATTTTATACATGTATATAATGCACAACTAAAGAATCACCCTATTTCACATCGAGGCATAAGTGGGCACCTTAGTAAAACCACTGATCATCTGTATAAAGCTTCCTGACATTAAAGAATCCAAAGTTCCTAATGTGATTTGAACCCACAGCAGTGAGGGCAATGTGATTTGTAGTCAGTGGCTTCAAACTATTCGACCAAGTCCCTTTTGACAAGTTACAACATACAGTATAAATAGCTGTAAGCTTATATAACACTAGCTACTAGTGAGTGTTATATGGTAAAACACCATTTATATATGGCCATATAACCCAGCAAAAGTCTTTATAACCAATTTATAATACTCCTTAATTGCTTAAAATTTGATCACAATAAAAAATCAATACACACTTTTGCAGCGGCAGTGTGTATAGATGACAAGCCAATAAAAATATTATCATCACAAGTTTATTATCTATATAAATAATTGAGCCGTGCAGTCTGATCAGGATCCCTGCTGTTCGCTATCAAATTCTCTACTAATAGGGTTTGTAAGCGAACAGCATGGATCCTGATCAGACTGCGCGGATGCGCAGGCTGGTCTGGATCCATGCTGGGCGCAAATACATTATGTTGGTTTTGTCGTGACGCGGCTCATATATATACCTAGCATACTCTTCAGACAAGACAAGGAGGAAGATTTGAATGTGGCGACAGCTTGTTTCATATCCTGTTGCGCCATCTTGTCCGACATCAGTTCCTGGAAAACCTGCTTGCTGGTGTGTAACCTGAATTATTAAAGCCATAATTTAGAACATATATAATCTCAGGCAGGCAATGAAACCTTAAATAGCAGGATAGAAAATCCATAAAACAAAAAGTAAGATTTTGTTGATGATGCTTTCAAACTAAAATACATTGTATTGCTTTATCACAAAATCGTGCCGCTTTTCCTACTCTGTAAAAATGGTATTGCTCAGCTGTGCATATATTTTGACCTAACCTCATTTACAGTATACAAACATAGTGTAAAGACATGCTAAACATTAACTTTACATTATAGGCAGTGCAATAAAAAAAGGATTCTTTTCACTTAAAACTGTCTTAATCTTAGGTATGTGATAAATATTTATGTAATATGGGTGTAGGTTCATTACTGACTTTACTGAACTTGTTGAATAAAATAATATTATGCTTGCCAGAGGCCTGTATAATATAATTTTATTCAACTTGTTCAATAAATTCAGTTTTGAACTTACACTCATTCAGTATCCACTATTTACGAGTAAAGTATGTTTGAACAATAATTTCATATCAGTATTCAAGGACACAATCCAAATAAATTGTCTGAGAATATTCTGATAATTTTCACACATCAAATAAACAGACACAACAACCTAATAATATCCGTGTTATGTGCATACAAAAGAATTTTGGTGATATAAGGTAATTTATTAATAAAGTGTTTACTTAAACAAAATGCACAGACACATCTTTTCAGGTTAATTTAAAGAAAAAGAGATTGGAATAAATGTTTTTAAATTTTTCATCTTAACAACATCAAAGAACCTTTTTATTTTCTCTTAGAAAAAAGACTTTTTACAACTTTTGTGGTTGTTTGTATCATAAAAATATTTTCAAATTTCCAAAGGCGAGTAAAATGTTCATTTCCTAGATTTTTTGCATATATTTCTAATACATTCTCCATAAGCACTACATAAAGAGTGAGACTTAAAAAATTGTGTTGGAGCATGAGAGAAACCGTATTTCGATATATACCAGACAAGGCGCTTGAATAATTAAATGCTAAAATCTAGCCTTTTTACCAATCTAAGATATCTAATTCATCTGTTTACACCAATTTATATATGATACTGAATGAAAAATGTACGAATCGGCGAAAAAAAAGCAATATTATTCTACTATGTGATCATGATTTTTGCAAGCCTTAAGAGTTACTGCTCAAACACTATAGTGAGTTAAATCCCGAGATAAATCTGCGTCATACCTGTCAGCTACAGCTTCCTGTTTCTGTACAAGTGGCGCCACATCCGCTGCTCTCATCAGTAAACCTTTGGTATGGTCCTCATCCAATAACTTCTTACTAGATTCCATTAGATTTTCCATGGTTTTCATCTGTTGTCTATAACAGTAAATGAATGGTAAATAATTGGAAAATTATTGATTAATTGTTGGTAAACAAGAGATTTCATGACAACAAAATTCTCTGGATTGATACTCTTTTTTTATGAAGTGATGCACAATTGGGCTATGAATTTGCCCAGTGCAGAACCTATATAAGTCGGAGTCTTTGGTGATGGAAATTACAATGTGTACGAAGTCAGTAGTTTAACAAAAACCAAAGTATCGCATAAGATAAAAATATTATATGCAGAAATATACAAAATAAAGGTATAATTTTAGACCTATTTTCTTCAATCTGGGTCCTAAGTTTGGCAAGGATTTTGGACTTGCTCTCTGAAAGACGATGAAGAGTGGCATGACGGTGTTGGCGTAAACTTGATGTTAGATCATCTATCAAACGTTGATACTGTAAATCTATTTTGTGACTAGCCTGAGTATGGATATTCTGAAATGATAATAGAAATATATCATTTTACCATACAGATTTGCTGTTCTGTTGTTATAAATGGTTTGTGTTGCTTTCACGACCCACCAACACAATTTAGGACAGTTGCTATATGTTACCAAATAGAAAATCAAGTTACTGTAAACTATGAGAAAAACAGGAATGGTCTTGCAGATATAAAACTTTTTGGAGTTATGTCTCAAAATTTTCATTAGTCAGGGTACATTCTGCAATAACATACCTGAGATTTAAGAAAATTTTATATAGCCCAGACCTTAAGGTCTTTTACCACATTGATTTCCGCCTTCATAAGACAGGTTGTTCAAATGAAATTTTACAAATTAAAAAGGAATTAACAAAAAAGTGAATTGTTTCTGTTAGACTTGACAAAATTCAATAAAAAAGTGGTTTCTGACCATACATCAGCTCTTATCACAATTAATCTAAATGGAATATGAATAAACTAAAACATTACCTCAATGTCCTCTGTAATCTCATTCATCTTAGCACTTTGTTCAGATAATGTTGCAATCATACTGTCAAGTTTTTCTTTTGTACCCGATACTGTCTCCTGTAATAACATGTGACAACATATGAACTATTTAAAAGGCACATTTTACCTCATAAATAATATAGTTTTCCTTATCCAGAAACATTGTAGTATTTTGACTTCCATATCAAATACTAAATCACTTTAACTATATTTATAAGCAAATGATGGTTTAGAAAAGTGTCCATTGAGTAACTTTCGGAATTTATAACACAACAGTGTTGCAATAAGATTTTTTTGAGAAGCTTTTTTTTTAATTTGAGGTAGTCATTATAAATTTCATCATATAAAACAATGAGTTTTGAGGTGGGCCATTATAAATGGATTTGAGATGGTCATTTTGGCCTCCAGCCCCCTTTTAGTGACATCCCTGGGTGACAACATCAAAAACGAAAAAGTTTTTGAGAAATAAAAATAAAAGCACTTCTGGGACATAATGGGCATTTAAAAGAAAGCTTTTGTATGAATCATATACTGCCACAAGGCTCTTATTTGTTGACTTTGTAAATGGGATATGTGTGAATATCTCTTATTATCAGAGCAACCATCTCCCTCTCATCAAAATTTAAGATTTCACAGACACTGTAACCTGTTTATCCATTTAAAGTCCTTTTAACATATACATGTTAAAAGCATTTCCTGTGCTGTAATTATATTAGGATCAAAGTGATGAGTACCTGTATGTGAGACTTTTACTATGTCAAGTCAATTTTCACAAGGAGTGAGACTAAAAAAAGTGTTGGAGTACCACACTAAATACCATATGCCGGTATACACCAGAGTGACAAGTCTCTTGAATTATCAAATGCTAAAATCTTGCCTTTTTACCCACCCAAATGCATTTTAAGACATATAATTCATCTCTTCACATGATTTATATGCAAAAATAGATAAAATATGAAAGAATCAGTGAAAAAAAAACAATATTTTTCTACTTCATGATCATGATTTCTGCAAGCGTCTAGAGGTACTGCTCCAAGTGAGTTGAACCCATTTTCAATTTTCGGTCATGAAATCCAAAAATTTTTGTTCCTTACTTGAATTTTAGCTAACTGTATCAAGATTATAAAGCTGCTGCGGTTAAGGTAAAGATGTGATTCATTGAAAGTTTCATAAGTTCCAAACCTTCATGAAATGTTTAGAAAATAGTTCAAATAGAAAATATCCATTGGAAAGTGTGCCACCACTTGAAAGCAATAAGTAACCTTTTCATGGCAAAATAAGTATTCATTTTAGTTTCAGCAGATGAATATATACAGGCTGACTTTGCTCAACATCAGTAACACAAGCTAGAATCATTGTTAATACCACCTTGAGGGCAGTAAGAAACTTTACTCTCATTGTTTAGTAACAGTTGGTTCCAGGAACGGATCTGAATGTGTTTCAATAAGCTTATATAGCTTCCAACACATTCAAACTAAAATAAATTTGTATAAACTAAACTAACCTGATACCACCTTGAGAGTTAAATTATGTTTTGTTCCATTCAACCAAAACTGAATATCATGCTTTTTACTTAGAAGATCAAATAAAAGAGTGAAAATATAGATATATAAGCAATAAACAGCCTTTTGATCTAAATATTATCTTGTTTTAGAGTTTACCTGACCATGAAAATATGATTTTATTATGCTTATCCTCAAGGCAATATACTCATGTTTGAACTTGGGTGTGATTGGGATCATTGCTTCTTGCTTCTTTTTTTTTGGAGGGAGGTAATAAATTTGAGGTCAGCAGAGGCCCTCCAATTATGTTTTCATGGCTGGTTTCTTTGAATCCCTTAAAATGCTGTGTATTATCATGAGAATTGCTAAAATATACCATAAATAGCCAATGAAGGGTGCCTTTTTATATAAACAGTGCTTGTATAGGCATCCTGATAATTTCTTTGATTGCTTAAAGGCACATGTATGCCTCAGAAATCCATACCTTTTTTTTTTTTTAAAGAATGTCAAAAATATGTTTAATAATGTTTTAATAATGATTTTAGATTATATAAGATGTTTAACAACTGAAAGTTAAGCTGAATATGCAGTAACAAGGTAGCAAAATGTAAAACAGGTAAAAGTAGTTTTTTGACTTGCATACAAAATACTCATTCACTATGATTATACTCATTGCCAACAGAGCAAAAGAAATAAAAGATGACTCATCTATGTGGCAAGTGAGTATTTTTTTGGAAAGTGTAACAAGATACCAAAAATAAAAAGTTTTTGAGAAATGAAAATGATAGCATTCTGAGGCATAATGGGCCTTTAAGCTAGAAACAAAGTACAAGTTTTACCATTCTTAATATTGTGTCACTCATCCCTAACGAAACTTCACAAACAATTAAATTACTAAGTAATATCTATATCTACCTTGGTTTGAACTAATGCTGTATCTAGAGACAGGATCTTATGTTGTGAGTGTTTGCCGACCCCTTCACATACACACAGATGACACACTAAAAGTTGGCATTTATCACAAAATATTGCCGCCACCTCCGCCTTGTGATCGCAACAATATGCCTGTTTCTCTGACGAACTGTCTTTAACTGGATTTCTAAACTTATGATGAGCTAACGGCCCACGTTTTGGATGAAAGTTTTCAAGGCACGACTGGCAATAGGCGACGCAGCATTGTTCACAATACCATGATGCTTTTCTACATGAATTTTCCTCGCACAGTCCACACGATTCTAATAAATCGTCACTAAAAACAATGTTATCAACGTCTGGTGAAAGTGGACTTGCGCACTGACTAGGAGAAGCAAGAGAAGCAAGAGATTGGAAATCGAGAGTGAGGTCAAGACTTTTACGTGACCTAGTCATGCTCTGACTCTGTATTTCCTGGTATCGGAACACTATATTTTCAAGTGCTAAATTCCGCGGAAGTTTTCCCACTTTTGTTCTGCTGACTGGATGAGATTTCCTACATGACGGACAATCAAGCCCTGAAATATCATACAAAAACTTCAATACCACAAACTATATGCTTCATACATTAAAGGAGCTCCACTGTGGTCAAAATGCCTAAAAAACATAAATTCTAAAATTCTTACATAAATCAAGTGGAGCAGTTAAAATGGAAAAATCTGCTAAGGATAATAAAGAAGTATGCTCAGAATTAAATCGATTTTTCGTGTGATTGCAATGCTTTTCATTCTTGGGTTATTTTGAAAAATAAAAATAATGATTCAGTAAAAACAGGGGAGAGGGAATGATCTGAAAATTTGACCAAAAGGTATTGGTCTATATTAAGACATACATCAAAAAGTACACAAATATAGGGAAAATATTTCCAGTCCACTTATTTTAAGAAACCTCAGTGGAGTCCCTTTAAAATTCATGTTTCCCTTGGCTGATATGGGTTGGACAAAGACTGTCAGATCTAATGCTTGAACTAAGGTACTTGTCAATTATCTTAAACAATAAATGTATTTTTCTTAGGTTTGAAGTCTGTTCAAGAATCACTTTACTATTTTACTCATGCTTTAAATTGTATGAAAAGTAAAAAACATCATTGTACATTGTTTACATCTAAGTTGATAGCACGTTTTTTTTAAATTCATGGTGGCGGCATGGTCGTGTGGTTAGCACATCTGACTAAAGATCGCTAGATGTGTGGTTCAAATCCAGAGGCAAGCCGTTGTTTTCTTGAGCAGGAAACTTTACATTCATTGCTTAGTAATGGTTGGTTCCAGGAACTGATTCAAAAAGGTGCCTATAAGCCTATAGCTTCCTACACAATTGAACTAAAATAAATTTTATATTATAAACCAATTTCAAATTAACAGGTGCACATAAATATCTTCATGTTTTCAAAAGCATTAAGAAACAGATAGTGAAAATAGAAATGCCACTTAATTTGTGAATATCAGATTAATTAACCATCTATTAACAGTATTATGGAAGCCTTCTTTTAAGGCAATGTAAATATGGTAGCCAACTTGGTATATCAATTGGCAAATGACCTTAACAATATTGGTGCTGCTTAAAACTAAACAAAAACACTTGATTTGGGCAGCAAAACCATCACAATAAAAGAGTTATTACCATCTTTTCCTGATTTGTATCTGTTATCAACAATATCCTGAAGACATTTTTTACAGATACTGTGTGAACAAGGCAGTAGAAGTGGATCAGCAAACAGTTCTAGACATACAGGGCATGTCAACTCCTCCTCCATTGTTCTGGAATGATGGTTTCTACTTTTAACACTCAGATCTGAAAAAGAAATCAGTAAAACACTTTATTTAATACTTATTTTAGACCACAAAATGATAAATGAACCAAAAACATGATCAGTGAATTTCATTTTTTTATATTGTACATGAAGGAACTAGGGTACGTATACTTCTAGACAAAACTAGTTATCGTCCGGAAACCATGAGGGAGACCGACTAACAGATGGACAAACCAACTGACAAGCTAACTCCTATAAACTTCATTTGTGGGGGTATAAAAATCAAATGATTAATGCTTTTTTCTTCTCAGTACATCTCTTGTTTGTCTAGTCCAACTAATAAGACTTGCCAAAAAGAGACAATTTGAGATATTTTTTGAAAGGTGATGTCTTTTTGAATAACAATGTCTTTTTCCTTAACAGTATACAAATAAAACAGTCTGTAAAATGGATCAAACTGTTCATGCTGAATTAATTAGGCTACAGTTTGTCATGCTTCTAAAAAATGTTAATTACCTTTAAATAAACAAATCAAAGCATCACCTGAAATTGTGTTAAAATGATTTTAAATTAACCAATTCTTTTATATGTGTAATCCTTCGGGTTTTTTCCCTTGTGTTTTGATATTATACAGTGATTTAACCTCACAGACACTCTTCTCTTGCATTAAACAAGAGGAGAGATATTAGAATCATTGGATAAATCATAAATGTGTTCCTAGATGCTTATAGAAACGACATCGACCCAGCGGAATAATTACAGTAGAAATAACAGATCACTCGTGCCTGCCAGGGAAATCATTTTGTTTACACAACACTGCGATAGTCTGTTTTATGTTATTCATTCGTGTTTTATGCTATTAATGGTGTTTTAATCAATTATTAGTGCCAATGTTATATATTACTGTATGGCATATATCCTGTAGTATATTTTAATAATCGCCCCCAGAGAACTTGTTGCAGAAATCGTTTAATTGATCCTATATTAACAGGATCAACTGGTGATTGTTATAAATGCATGTAGGTAATATTATATATTTATCACATAAACCAAGGTGCAGGAGTGTAATAAAATGATATTACACTAGTGTTATAACATTTTGATGTGACGTCATTCGTGTTAATACAAACAAAGCATTAATACATGCTGATATGTTGGCGTTACACCATAGGCACATCAATGATAAATTACTTTTTTTAGCTGTAAACTGTACTGATAATTAAAATATTATATTCCTGTAGATTCAATACTTAATTTCTTGAACTTGTTGAATAAAACAATATTATGCTCGCCAAAGGCTCGGATAGTATAACTTTATTCAACTCATTCAATCAATTTATTATTAAATCTACACTCGGAAAAACCTACATTTGCAGAATTACAGATAACACCTTTAATTCCTATTTTTTCCTGCAATCAATAAAGGCAACATAAAACATTATGAATAAAGTCGGCCAGTCAGTTAACAGAAAACATTATCAATAATTCATTTTTCCCCATGAACATACATATATAACAATAACCCTGCAATAAAACTATTGATTAACCTATTCCACACCTTTATTTTGAGTACAAGACTATTGCTGCATTGTGTCCATTGTTAGATTTTGAGATTTTAAGTCTATGCAGCTGCTTAAAAATAAACAATGTTTGATCAAAATAGTACCATTTCCACATGCCACATTGGTCAGTTTCAGATTTCATATGTTAACTTTCCAGTTTTAATTGTTGGAGCAAGACCACAAGATCTGCTCCTTTTTTCCAGTCACCCAAGCAGAACCATTAACATTTGTTAAGCTAGCTTGAAAGCTTCCTAACAAAAAAATGCATAAGTAATTGCAGGATTTTAACCTAGAGCAGTGTAGGGAAAGTCATTTACTTTAACCACTTAGCCACAAAGACAACTAACTCAGCCACAAAGACAACTGAAAACTAACTCTGTTGGAAAGAAAACTGAAAACTAACTCTGTTGGAAAGAAAACTGAAAACTAACTCTGCTGCAAAGAAACCTATTGCAAAGACAAATGAAGACTAACTCAGTCCGTAGAAAACTAACTCAGTCAGAAAGAAAGCAGACAACTAACTCAGCCACAAAGACAACTGAAAACTAACTCTGTTGGAAAGAAAACTGAAAACTAACTCTGCTGCAAAGAAACCTATTGCAAAGACAAATGAAGACTAACTCAGTCCGTAGAAAACTAACTCAGTCAGAAAGAAAGCAGACAACTAACTCAGCCACAAAGACAACTGAAAACTAACTCTGCTGGAAAGAAAACTGAAAACTAACTCTGCTGGATGAAAACTACTGCAAAGACAAATGAAAACAAACTCAGCCCATAAAAAACTCACTCAGTCAGAAAGAAAGCAGACAACTAACTCAGCCACAAAGACAACTTAAAACTAACTCTGCTGGAAAGAAAACTACTGCAAAGACAAATGAAAACTAACTCAGCCAATAGAAAACTAACTAAGTCAGAAAGAAAGCAGATCAATAACTCAGCCTTAAAGACAACTGAAAACTAACTCAGCTACAAAGACAACTGAAAACTAACTCAGGCACAATGGAAAACTGAAAACACAAAGACAACTAACTCAGCAGAGAAATCATCTACCAAATAGATTGTTAACAAATATTGTATATAAAACTAATGAATGGAAATCTGTTAGATCTTAAAAATAATAAAGCCTGAATCTTATAAAAAAAAGTTTTCTTCATCATTTTATCACTTTTCAGCACTAAAACAAATGAAAACAGTTATCAAAATAATACCGTCAACAATCCAAATTAATTAATCCAGCCTAGTGATATACAGCATGTTCAGGAACCCATAAAACATTTGTATACTTTGTGATCAATATTAAATACCTACATAGCTAATATCTAAAATCTGTCTTATATAGCTAACAATAGGAGGTTAATCTATATTTCATAAATTCATATTTCATTTCAAAATAATCCATACATTTCACAGGTCACAATTTTGAAATAAATCCTGAATTTCGTAAGTCAAAATTCTGAAATAAGACCAGAGAAATATGGGGTTTTAAACTTTTAACGATTAAAGGTGCAGAGGGTAGTGCTTCAGTGGAGTTAAGGTTTGAACTGAAGGAACCTATTTAATATCATGAGGAAAAATGTACAGTTTCATAGTTCACTATTCTATAAGTTCATTTGATTCTATGTTTAAAAGCATAATTTGTATTATGAGGTTTCAGATATACAATCATGTAATCCATTAAAAGGTGATGCTCAGATATTACATTCTTCTTTTATTCATAAGTTCATTATTGATTATTCGAATAAGGCCTCAATAATAAATTAAAATAATGAATATCATTTTTTATGTAATGTTACTTCCCATTTTAATTGGCATTGTAATGGAAGCTTTTCTTCACCATAAGCAATATTATTAATTATAAAGATCCAGAGAGAAAGGGACTCAAATACCAGTAATGCAATCGAAATTAAGGTATTGTGCTGCCCAGGACATTTTATATTTCAGTACAGTATAATAAAGGGGCTAACTCCAATTAAATTATATGAGGAGTTGTATCATAGTTTGAGGACCTTTCTGTTGAAAAAGTGTCAGAGTTAAATCGAATACATATACATGCACAGTGCGGTAACTGGAGTGCAGGTATCAGTTATCCGCACTCCAGAGCATGCCCGTTGATTGGTTCATTTTTGCTGGGGTTTACTTATTGTGACGGCAGAGAAAGGGAAAGGGGCAGAAATATCATATTCAAATGCTCGTTCATTGGTTAATTTTTTCAAGGGTTTCATATTATGACAACAGGGAACGTGCTGTCATGATTGACTATGATACAAAAGAGAAAGAACACCAAAACACTCGGCAATCTGATTTATACTCTGGGGCTACCCCCCTCGTACAAATCAAATAGCCTCGTGTTTCGGTGCTCTTTCTATTACTTAACCCTTTACTGCACTAAGGTGGCGATTTATCCTCCACTCTATCTACAGTGGTATGTTTATGTCATAAACTCGGATGAGAAGTTGTGTGTCAATTGAAACATAATCACAAAATATGAAACATTTCAATACTAAAAAAAACTTTTCAGTGAATATCTTCTGTAAGAAGAGTTCAATTGATAAATTGATAACAGCTTGCTCATACCAACAAATCATAACATATATTGAGGAAAAGATTCTTTCAAAAGTTCAAAACAGCCAAAAAGAAAAAATGGTGATTTCATTAATTACGATCTCATTAGGCCATAATATATACAAACAGTCAAGTCTTATCACAATCACAAAGAAAACTCTGTAATCAATATGTTTTTCATGAAACTCTACAGTAAAACAAAGAAAATTAATTATTGCCAAGACTTTCAAATTAACTCTAGACCAGAAATCGAAGGTTCATTTGGTAAATTACCATGCTATTCACTTTATATGGCTATTTGTGTATACTCAAGTTTATATTTAGACCCAATTTATCAATCTTCTTGATACAGTCTTGGTAAAAACCAGTATTAGTTTTCACTGGGGAAAAATACTTTTTCTGCACAACATAACATCACATTAGATAAGTGCATCTGCTTTGAAAAAAGTACTACATGTAATTAATGCAAAAATACAGAAAAAATTTAATTTGTTTTTTTAAAACAAAAGCTGCCGATAGGACAGCATCCTAAAATAATTCAAGAGCTTGATAGTAAAACAAGAGCCTGAATGATATAGAATTTTCAAAAGTTCAAAAAGGGCCATAATCTGCCACATAACCAAGGGACCGTGGTATGAGCCCTAACTGGGTCACACCCTATTTCCTTATATTACACACTGTTGAAATACTGGTTTACTACCAGCAACAAGACTCTAGCGCAATTTATACAGTATAATTGCAGTAACTTATATCACGATCAACCATTAATAATTAAATATTGTCACTTAAGTGCATTAACGGGTTAACTCATATTAAAAATCAATAGGAGTAAGCCTGTTATTGCACTTAGATGACGATATGCTAAAAGCTTAAATAGTGTTCCAAGATAATGTGTTATATGTGGTAATCTATGGGCAGGTCACAGTCCCCTTAATTGTGCCTTTCTATGAAAACTAACAGATTGTGAAGTACATTGTTGGAAAATCTTAAGAAAAAGAAAGAATTTCATTCAAATTATTGGAACAAATTTAAACAACTATCTGAATTTTCTATGATTACTCATACAGACAAAAAACAAATTTGAAGTTGTTCATGGAATGTTGCCATGTCTCTGGTAACCAAAGTTACCACCAGATATTACTGCTGTTAGAGTACAGTGTCACATAGATATGAAGATAATTATATTACAGATATCTTGATTTGTTCTGCAGAATTTCAAAAACAAAATTTCATTTGAATACAGACACCATGCTTCTTATTTACTACATAATAACTACGAATTGCAAGTGTCATTACATTTAAAAGCGCCAAAGAAAAAAAAATATGTTTTCAGTTTCAAAGCTTTTAAGTAAGCTAGTTTGCTTTAAATTTGATTCTTTTTTGCGGGGTTTGGATTTTACGTAACACCTACACAGAATAGGTCATATGGAAACTTTCCAGCTTTACTGGTGACGAAAGACCTCAGGTGCCCTTCCGTGCAATATTTCAGGCACAAACGGGCATCTCAGAGTAGAACCACCAACTTTCCATAAGTTAGCTGTACAGCTTCCTCAGATGAAAAAATCCAAAGTCCCTATTGGGATTTGAACCACAGCAATGGGAGGCCAAGATGATCCGATTGAGCTGGTCTTTGAAATTAAGTGCCGCAAGCAGGGTAAGAGTAAAATTCAGTGTCAATGACCACTCACGTTTATCTGTTTATAAACAGTCCATCTACCCCATTTGGTTGAACCCTATAAACCTTGGATTGTGTACCATACCATTAGAACAAAGGGAAATCATCATAAAATAGCCATTAAACAAGCTTTGATATTAAAAATATCAACAATTGTGAACAACTTCAAAACAGCTAAGCAATAAACAACATTTGAATATATTTACTCCATTTTAAAAAGGTCATGACCAAAGACACATGGTAAATTTTAAGATAGCTCAAAAACACATTCAAACAAGGAATATGGTGTTTGTGAAAGTTGTAGATCTATACTCACATCTAAATGCAACAAGGTTAAATGAAGACTTTGCTCCAAAATGCCAATGCAAAACTTTTAACAATATCAAAATGAAGGTACGTTTTCAGGCCTATTTCCTTGTTATACCATGTAATATCATAACAAACCATATGCATGTATAAAAAAACATATACTCAATTAAGTCTTTATTAATTTTAGTAACAATTGCTCAAACTTAGAATTACAACTATTAAATGAGAATGTAGAATAATATTTGGTCAATAGAACAGCTTATCAAATGGATTAAGAACTGACTGTCCTTACAAAAGCAGACTGTCAAAAACACATCTGCCAAGTTTCTTCTATTCTATTATTATTTTATTTAGCTGTCAAACCCAACAGTGTCACACAGACATTCCCTAAATTTTGTAATCTTAATTCTGTCTTAAGGAGGAAACAATTCATGTGAGCCGCGTCAGGACAAAACCAACATAATGGGTTTGCGACCAGCATGGATCCAGACCAGCCTGCACATCCGTGCAGTCTGATCAGGATCAATGCTGTTCGCTTACCAACTCTATAACAAGAAGAGAAACTGATAGCGAACAGTATGGATCCTGATCAGACTGCGCAGATGCGCAGGCTGGTCTGTATCCATGCTGGTCGCAAACCCACTTTGTTGGTTTTGTCATGACGCAGCTCAATTATTACTAGAATTACATACACTGGCTTTAGGACAAAAAACAAATGAATTTGAACACCTTTGGTTTAGTTTCCTTGTGGGGTAACCTAAAAGTCTAAAAAAAAATCTTATTGCCCCCCCTTTGAAACAATGCTTGTTCTTGTGAAAATTATACATGTATGCATATAAAGTTTCATAAAATTCAAATTGAAAAGGCAAACATGAATTTTATAATGTTTAAATATATATGGTTTTATAGAAATGTTAGTTACACCTTGTTGCCTGCAGAAAGTAGTAAATGTGAAATAATTTGTGATAAAAGTAGCAAAATGTAAACTAAGTAGTATTTTGACTTCCATACAAAATACTAATTCACTATAACAGTAACTTATTGCCAAAAAGCAACAGATGAAAAAGATGGTTCAGGTAATTGGCCAATGAGTAACCTTTTGGATACTATAAAAGAAAACACCAAAATCAAAATACTTTTTTGATAGGTAAAAATAAATAATGGGCCTTTAATTAACCATACCTCAGATAATGACCTGTACTTCTTATAAAAAAAATTATACATTAACAAGTCAATCGCTACAGTTAAATCATACATAGTTTAATATAGGCCCCCAAAAAAATCTACTTACAGATTCTTTGTCAAATCAATTTTATTGCCCATTGAGATATTGTGCTATTTTGTGTATGTGCAATAGTACCCCTTCAGCAACAAGATTCTGAGCAAAATCTTCAAGCTTTGGCACTGTCAAAATATTTTGCCTAACAATCTCCTAAATTACCATACTCTTAATTTTGCTGCAAACATGTTTTTAACTTTTTTTAATTGCACATATAATAAAAAAAAGCAGTTTAATAAAATTTAAAATATTATTTAATATTTTCTATATTTATAAAAAATATTTTTTAAGCGTCTAGTATAATACAGAAACAGACATAATTTGTACTGTAATAAAATTAGAAGAGAAAATCAGAACTAACTATGGACATTCCCCATCCTTTGGAATATCAATCAGTGGTAAGTGGAGCCATCTATATTACATGTAATGTTCCTTTTTCTTCATATATCTTATCTTTATTCAAGATTCAAGACTAATATGTCCTTCTTTACTGGCGGAAAAACATCATTTTTCAAAAATTCTGCAAATTGTCTAGCAAGTGAAAATTGCTTCCTAATTTCCTTTGGCTCACAAGTTCTGATGCACTTAGAAGTTATCATGGTTTTTATATTCTCACAAAGTCACCAGTTTTCATCCATTTTTTTTTTTTTCAATCATTGATTACCTGAACAATGACTGTCTGTTGTTAACTGACAGTTAATAATCATCATTCATCAGCCTATTTCTATGTAAATATACAATGTTTATAAACACCGGTAAATTCATTTCCTGCGTAAAAACCTGTATTTATCTTTCCATTAGTAATTTCTCTCTTGAAATGAATCAAAACAGACCATGCCTTTATTTCTAGAAATGGTTACATGCTGAAATACAAAACTGCCTGATAATCAATATCTCCTTGTTACCGTTATACATGTATATGCTACCAGAGGTCCTTCATAAAAAAATGTCATTTATCTTGAAACAAGGTGTGAAAATTAAGTGACAGAGTTCTTGTCACAGTCACGCTGCAAATTTCATTTATTTGCACCATTTGACATTTTCCTAGGTACCTCTGATGCTTTTTTTTTACTTCAACATCTCTATAAAATGTTATAAAGATTTAGATACTCCTTAAATAATTAACTAAATGCTGAAGGAAGTTTCTAGTATGATTGGGATTATACACTTTAGTTTCACATTATGTTTTGCTTAGTCAATCTAAATTTTTCCTTCTTTTATCTAAAGGCATTCCATTCAAAGTATCTCTATAAGCTAATATTATAAAAGTTACACAATAACTGTCCTTAATTGATACATAATCCACTTTAACCAAACACAGTTTATCCAACAAAAACTGCCAAATTGTTCCAGCTTTTATAACACAAATATCCCGATGTCTTTACTCTCTATGTGCATTGTAATGTTTACGTTTTGTCTATGTAACAATCTTCTATAACACACTGTTGACCTAAACAATATCAATAAAAGTTCATGTAATTTGTATAAGTGACATCGTCCAAGTCATTAATTGCCCTACTCGGCAGAAGAAAAAAATCAACACGTAAAACACAACATTTTATTACGTAGGCTGTCCCTCTCTTTGGCATCCCTCCTTATGCTCGTCTCTCACAGTGTCTACTGGTATATATATCTGTATTGGATGCAGTATCACCATCTCCTGTCTTAATTTCCATATTGATATTCCACGATAAGACAATGTTCACATGTTGCACAGTTTACATCATCATAAGACACTCGTTCCAGATATTTGCTATAAATATTTAGACGTATCATAAAAATAATATTGCCATGACAGTACTGCCATTTGCTGTCTTTTAATATAATCGTATCACTATAGATTTATATAAAATATCAGTTGGCGTGTCTTGAAGAAAAGGCTGAGATTTTACAATATTTGACGACACACATTTAAAATTTGTTTCCCCATTGTGTATAACCAACCACATGGCATTAGGTGATATTAAACTGGAGTGTTGGCAAACAGCTCAACTTTCAAGAGATGTGCTGTAAAAATACTACCATAAATTCATTGAGCTTTTATAGACCTAAAATTTATTGATGTCCTATCAGTTTGACTTGCAGATCTTGAAATAAGTGTAATAGCAAGATACTCTATAGTTTTGTGGTTTAAAGGTTGCATTAACACTTTATATAAGAATCAGGTATTATAAAGAGACTTTCATAAACAACCACCTATTAAACTGACCACTTGGCTATAATGGTCAATGAAACTGGTAAAATGAATACTTCAAGCTTTCATGGTTTATAGAATGGTTCATCAGTAAAAAATAAACAAAAAGTTTATCGGCCAAATAACTTGATTTATTGCAAGATGTGTGTAAAATTTCAATTGCCATTGTGTAAAAGCATCTTCATATTAATTATTGATGTCATGCTGTCCTAAATCTTCTTCTAACAAATATTTTGCAGTACCCAAAAGCTTTTTATTGAGAAAATCATTCTTTGTTTTTTCTTGCTGTCTTTTTTACAGTCTAGTAATTAATAGTGAAAAAAAGTACAGGCACGGGTATTGAAGTCCTAAATTGAAGCTACATGTACATAATTATGTCAACATAATGAGGTTAAGTCACGGATATTAAAGTCCTTAATTTAACCTACATAATTATGTCAGCACTGAGGGTTTGAATCCTGTTAAATACGTTATATTTGGTCATATAAGAAATTAAATAATAAGGTAGTTTAACCTTTAACTTAGCTTGCTGGTGGCAACTGAATTCTGTTTACACCATGTGACCAGAACAGACCATGATCAGCAAATTTAAAGGATTATGCATGCTAATGAAAGCTCAAATACTGTTCTAGCTGGAAATACTAGAATAGGGAAACATCAGGCTCTTCTGCCAGTTATCACATGATTTTTAACAGGGTCAGTGTGCAGCAGAAATTAAAGTTAAACATATAACAAGAGCTGTATACAGGACAGGATACTATTTAAGTGCTTGATAGTAAAAATGTAGACTTTTCTAAGTTTTTCTAAGAGCCTTAATGTCAATAACCATGTCAGAGTTATGGGCCTTGGATTATAATTGACCTCCTATTATGCTCTCAAATAAGTGTGTGAAGTTTCACCTCATTCCCTTCAGTAGTTTTGGAGATACTAACTAGCACCAAAATACAATTTGATACTTGTTCTGCAAAATTATATAAAACAAGATATTCTTGTTGTTCTACAAACTTAGATGATAAACAAGATATATTTTTGTCATTCTGTAAAATTGTTGCTATTCATTCTACAAAATTATATACAACAATTAAGTTACATGGATTCTTGTTGAACAACAAACTTAATATAAACAAGATATCTTTGTTGTACATATATCTTGTTGCTCTATAACATTATTATGAAACAGGATATTTCCATTTAAATCGTTTTAAACCAGGTATTGCTGAATATTGTGAAACATCAATGTATCTATAAATATTTATACTGCCAATATATTGTAACTATATACAAATACAAATATCACTATAACAAAAGGATTACCTTATCTTATATAAGTTAAATGACACTGACACGATCTTACAAGGAATTAATTTTGTTCCTCATACTTAAAGAAAGAAAGGTTAAATGCTTGACAATTGTAACAAAGAAAAAGAATAGCTTCAGAAAAAAGATTAAACTATGCTTTAGTGCAGTAGATCTACAGGGTCATGACTAAGATATTTTCAATATGACTGTAATACTTTCAGATAAACTAGGAAAATGCTCTATTTCTTTACCCTAACCACATGAAATATCTTAAATGGAACTGCTCATCTTTCAATCTGGACAAGTCCATTCATCATTTTCAGGGTGTACTGGCAGAATATAGCTAACAGTGCAGACCGTTATAAGACAGCACAGATGTGCCAGCTGATCTTAAGACTTAGTCTGCACTTGTCATATTGCTAGGCAAAGATTTAATGTATGCTGATTTCAGTAAAATACACTGATGTCAGTGAAAGTACATATGCATCAGTAATGCATGCTGATAGCAGTCAAGTACACATATATCAGTAAAGTATACTGATGTCAGTAAAGTACACATACATCAGTAAAGTACACTGATATCAATAAAGTACACATATATCAGTAAAGTACACTGATATCAGTCAAGTACACATATATCAGTAAAGTATACTGATGTCAGTAAAGTACACATACATCAGTAAAGTACACTGATATCAATAAAGCACACATATATCAGTAAAGTACACAGATATCAGTAATGTATGCTGATAACAGTAAAGTATACATATATCAGTAAAGTAAACATGTATCAGTAAAGTGCACTGATATCAGTAATGTATGCTGATAGCTGTAAAGTATACATATATCAGTAAAATACACTGATATTAGTAAAGTACACTGATAATATCAAACTATGCTGATATCAGTTAAGTATGATGATATCATATGATGAAATGAGTATAAAACACTGATATCAGTAAATGACATTGATATCAATAAAATATGCTGATACCAGTTAAGTATGCTGATATCACAATATTGTTCACTGTTATCAGTATAGTACATTGGCATCTAAGGTTACATTAAATGAAAGGACATATCTATATATCAGGTAACATGCAAAGGTAGCTAAGTGTATCAAATAAAAACACTGAACTTCCCTGAAAAGTTAACATAATGTTCATAGATATGTAAAACATCACATACATGTCAATTATTAGAGTGGAACAACATTGTTTACAAGTTAAAACACACATTTCTCTAATTAATTATTCCATTAGCCTAATTACAGAAGGTATGGGAAATGTATCAATTGATGTTTACACAATACCACAGTAAAATTGCTCATGTTTGTTGTACTAGTCTTGTAACCTATGTGAACTTAAAACCTTTGTCTCAGAAAAACATTGGCTTTGTCTAACTAATAACAATAAAGAGTGAACAATTAGTAGAGAATACTGAAGGTCAAAATTATTTTAGAATGCCATTGATATCAAAGATACAGAACAGTATTTTTCTAACAGGTCAAAGCATTGGAGACCTGGTTAGATACTGAAATACAGCTATGTCTCTGAGCTTGGTCAAATTAGGCAGAAAAAACACAAGTGCCTAAATTAATGCTTGAGTGAGTTTGAAGGAAACAAAAATTTTTTAAACTCTAAATAAGTATGTTTGTATTCATTTTTTTTTCATTTTGGCTTCAAACCATGAAAACAGAAATAGTTGTTAACTAAAATATTGTGTTTAATGTCAATCATTGTACAAAAGCAAAGCCAAACAAAATTTGTCATAAATACATCTATATGGATTAAAAAGGGAGGGAAAAAAAATTCTTTTACTGGTCATATCATTGTGCAAAAAGACCCCCTGGATGAAACATTGTAGAGTTAGAAACTGAGCCAGTACTTGTTATATCCCTTAATGCCAGTTTCAAACAGCTTAAAATATCATCTTATATGATATTTCATAAGCTAGACTTTTTTCATCAGTTATAATACATCACAGGAAAGACATTGAAATTTTAAATCCCCTAATATTTTCATCAATTTTCTACAAGCCAATTCAACAAACTCTGTCTCTGTTTGGGTTATACAACAACTTTACATTTTTTCCTTGTGAAGGAACCAACATATTGCACTACTTAGGCAAACATCTGCATGGACAGTAAACATATTTTGATTGCCAAAGCTTAATTTAGAGATATTTTTGTTTGCAAAAATCTCATGCCAAAGCTTGATTCTGAGATAATTTTGTTTGGGGTCAGAATCTTGCTCCTAGAGGAAGGGGAAGGGGGGGGGTCGAAGTGATATTGCCCATACACAAAATAGCACAATATCTCAACTCATAATACTATTATAGTTGGACTCAACTCATAATACAATTAATTAGACTTTCATTGGATAGAACAATTAATCATCTACAAACTAACCTCATGTGAACCACAATGACAAAATTCATTCAACCACCATTAGCCAAGCATGTGGTTAAAAAAATTGAATTCAGGGACCTAACCACTTTCATAGAGTACTTTCATGTCAACAGTACAATTATTTCAAGTACAATTTACAGGTGGTCTTCAATAAATCCATTAAAATAACAACTGTTTAATTAATTCTTTTTCCTGTATTTCTGAAGTATTTCCATCTATGATCTTAAGCATAGAGAAAACATACTTTAACTTTTCAATTATTTTTTTTAAACTCAAACAAATTATTTATCTCAGTGGCTCCATATTTCATCAAGCTTTCAAATACATATACTTCATTTTAAGTCAAAGACAGAAATTCAATTACTAAAAAACTTCTGCAGTAACTTTCAGTAAAATTTTCATCAATATTTTAAATTTGAAAATGTTATAAATTGACAATAAGTTTTGTTTAGGTTATACAATGCAACATAAGCTGTCCAAATGGTATTAGTCTGGCGCCAGCATTAAGTAGAATAAAGTGTGGTTATTTCAGTGCAGAACACTATGAAGTCAGACATGTATACAAGAAGAAATCATTCCTAAGGAACATGACAAAGCCCCACCCCCACAACAACCTGCAGTGGTTTTTCTCACTTGATCGGCAAGAGGCCTTAGCCTCTTGATTTTGGGAAAAATAATGCTAAAATTGCTTATTTATTTGGGAAGAAAAAACACTTGTGTAAGTTCAAATTTTTGGGAAAACTGCATGATTTTAAAGAAAACTTCCGCGGGGAAAAGGCTTTTTATAATAAGCCACAGTTTTATGAGGTGAAAAATCACTGTAACCTCATCATAATTAGGCTTATTTCATAACTTACAACATTTTTGGTTTACACAGAATTTATTTTAGTTCATTGGAAGCTGATACCTTAAAGACAACTTCTCAAATCCGTTCCTGGAAACAACAAGTACTGAACAACATGTGTGAAGTTTCTTTTTTAAGGA